AACAAATATTAAAAAAAAAAAAAGGTACAATTGCTTTCTCTGGACTATGGCTTCTTCTTAATTACAGTGTTCTATAAATAGACATTCTATGAGCCAGCTCAGATTTGCCACCTCTTAGGTGATATCTGAAAACTTATCCTTTACATGTTTTCAAAATGTCAGTTAGATCTGAGCACAGTGGCACACACCTGTGATCTCAGGTACTCAGAAGGCTGAGGCAGGAGGCAGCAAGTTCGAGGTCAGCCTGGGCAATTTAGTGTAACCCTGTCTCAAAAAAATCAAAAAGCTCTGGGGATGGAGCTCAGTGGTAGAGTGCTCCTGGGTGGTATCCCTAGTACCAATGTGTGTATATGGGGAAGCCCCAAAAAACAAAATGAATAATTAACACAGAGAACAAGGACATAGCAAGATGCTATCTACTCTGGATTTCAAGGAGTACTTTCTGGACCAAGCAGTCCAGAAATGGACCGGGCTTGGAATCTATATTTTGCAGTTCACAGGTTGTGAAGCTCAGGGAAGTTGCATCACCTCTCTGAGTATCAGGCCTTCCTCTTGTCCTTCATAAAATAAGGGTAAGAACAAACTAACACATGTAATGCAAACCATGTGGCTTCGGGAGCACTGCTGACTACAAACGGAGAGGTGGATCAAGAGAAAGATTAATACACCAAATTAAAAGCATTTTTCAGAAAATAAAAGCTCAGAGGACTCCTTATCGTTTTAAGCAAAAACAAGTTCACAAATGGAACGTCTAAAACTGCTGATGGAGGCCTCAAGATGCAGTTTGGTGGGATAGCACCTGTCTAACATGTGCGAGGCCCTGGGTTCCGTTCCCAGCAATGCAAAAACAAACAAACAAATCAATAAACAAACAAACAAACAAACCCCACAAAGTGCATACAGGATGAAGTTCTCACTTCACTATCAGAAGATAGTGACTTAGGCCATTGTGCTCAGTTCTGCTTCTTGTTCAGCGAGGCTGCTTCCTGTCCCCGCTGCTCAGCATGGTACTGCTCCATGAGCAACTGGCACTGAGAAGCTCAGGCTGGAAGTATTCGTGCTTCATACATTTTCCTTTGTGAAAAGGAACAAGCCAGATACTATTCTTAGGAAGAAAAAAAAAAAAAAAAGCAAGCTTTTTTTCCTATAAGTAAGCTCAGCAAATTTGACAGTCTACCCACCCCCACCATCTGCACAAGGGTTTTCATTATTCAGTGTTTGAATACAGAGTGACATTCTGTGCCTCTCTAAACCTAGGCCATGCTGGTCTGTTTGAAGGACCAATGCTCAAGGATGGCAGGGAAGCTCTCTGGGTTATGGTGTTTGGCACTTCTAGCCAGTTCTTTGCTCCTGAGTTATTTATATGGCTGAATACAGCTGCATCTTGAGTCACTGGGCCTTCAGCAATGACTGGCAAATTTAAAATGTCTATGGACATTTAAAAATACTTTCAAAAAATCTTGAAATTTGCAAAGGCTATGATATGAATTACCAGCTTTAATTATAAAATAATGTGTGCTCTTATATACCCTGAAGATTAATTTTGCTGCACCAGCTGGAGAAGAGAAATACCATATGCCAACGGGTCATTGAAATGGGCAAAACCAGACTTCCTGCCACAGCTATAGGCCCAGAACAAGGGCAAGGGTGAAATTGTTACAGGAGAGCTGCAGATAAGTAGATTTACAAATGATTTAGCACAACTGGATTGCAGGACTGGAACAAAGTGTCTTGTAGTTCTGGAGAGGAAGTAGCTTGCACCAGAAGAAAGGTAAAGAATGGTGACTCAGGCACTTCTCTCCTGAGCATCATCAAGTCGCCAGCCTGCCTGGAACAAAGGAGGCTCCAGAGAGCTCCACCTAGTTCACAGGATAAAATCTCATAGCAGAATTCGGAGTCAGCAATGGCTAAACCCTAGATGGTTGTTGGCTCCTGTGTTAATGCTTAACGGTCTGCAAATGCCCCTGAATTTTACCCATCAGGTTATTCTTCTAATTATACAGAATCCTATGAGGGTGGTTATGAGTATTATCCCATTCTATCGGAATATGCTCAGGATTTTTTGAATCATATTATAGAGCAGCCTGGCAATTTTGAAACTGAAATTGAACAGTTTGCGGAGACCCTGAATGGCTGAGTTACAACAGATGATGATGCTTTGCAAGAACTTGTGGAACTCATCTACCTACAGGCTACATCTATCCCAAATTTCTCTTATATGGGAGCTCAACTGTCTCATCATCTGACAATAAGCCCACACAGTGGCAACTTCCGCCAATTGCTACTTCAAAGATGTCACACAGAATATGAAGCTAAAGATTAAGCTGCAAAAGGAGATGAAATGTCTTAAGAACGATTTCATGTATTTATACTCGTTCTGGGACAATCTTAGCTTGGAGATCAAGGGAACAAATGGACAGGTTATAAGAACAGATGTCCTTCAGGTTGGTCTGAGAGAATTGCTGAATGCCCTCTTCTCTAATCCTATGAGTGACAACTTAATTTGTGCAGTAAAATTACTGAAGTTGACAGGGTCAGTTTTGGAAGATGCCTGGAAGGAAAAAGGAAAAGACTGATATGGAATAAATTATTCAGAGAATTGAAAATGTTGTCCTAGATGCAAACTGCAGCAGAGATGTAAAACAGATGCTCTTGAAGTTTGCAGGACTCTGGTCAAGTAACTGGGGGTAGAGTTCATACAATTTTAATATACAGAGAAGCAAAACCTGAAAATGATCCTAACTGCTTTATGAATGAACCGACATTTTATACATCTGACGGTGTTCCTTTCATTGCAGCTGACCCAGATGATCAAGAGAAATGTCAATAATTACTTGAAAGACAGGACTTGTTTCCAGATTATGAAGAAAATGAAACAGATTTATCAGGGGGTGGTGATCCATATTTGGATGATATTGATGATGAGATTGAAGAAGCTTATGAAAACTTTTATTTGGAATCAGAGTGTAAGCGAAAACAGTAAAGTTAAATTTTAGATCAGTTTTATAAAACAGTTGAGGTATGGTGATATAGCAGAATATAGGAAAGTAAGAAAATGTGTCACACTTATACCAAATTAAGGATGTTGAGTGATTTTACTAATGTATGTAACTTTAATGTTTTTAACACTATCTGCCAAAATAAATTTTATTCCCCAAAACTTAAATGTATACATATTTATACATATGATAGTTTATTATGTACAATTAATTCCACTGTTTTGGCTGCAATAAAATTTATTTTGAAAAAAAAAAAGATCGGTGACTCATAGGAACACCATGTGCCCTCAAGGTAGCTGAGCAACACAGAAGGAATGTATGCACACACACTGGATATGAGCCGAGCGGAGAGAAAAGCAGGAGATCGAGGTCCTGTGTATGGGGCAGTGGCAGTTGGGGACACATATCTTTTGACAGAATAGATGCTACTGTGTCTGTACACTGACACAAAGATATCTGCTGTGGAGCAATGAGAATCAAAAGGCTTGGGGCCCCTCAATGTTATCTTCCCTTCCCCTCCTGGATGGGTGCTTAGTTGCACTGCTCAGAGCACCCGTGGTAAGTGTCCATGCTTCCATCAGCACACAGCTCTCTATTCTGTAACAAGGGGATTCTGAGCCTCTCTCCTCTGCCAGACAGGTTCTTCACCCTGGCCTGGGGGGCTGAGTCAGTGTTGACTGAATGAGGCAGAGTGGTAGCAGACTCCATAAGGCTGACCTGCTGCACCTGAAGCCAGGCCAGACCAGACCCTGAAGCAGGAGGAATGTGGGAGGGGACATGGCTGTTTTGCTGCCAAAAGATTGAGAGAGGGAGGCTGACCTCACCTCCTGAAGAGCCTGTGGACTGCTATGAGCTGGAGTGATGGGGCCCAAAGCAGAAGGCTGGACTGACAGCCAGGAGGCTGATTTTCAATCCTGGCTTTGTCACTGATAGATTAAATGATCTTGGACAAATAACTAATCCTACCTTGTCCTTGTAAAATTAGGGAGTTAGCATAAATTTCTAGATCACAAACTTTTCTGATCATCAGAATCCCCTGGGAAGTTCTCTCTCTCTCTCTCTCTCTCTCTCTCTCTCTTTCTCACACACACAAACACACACACATTTGTATACATATGTTCACACCTGTAGTGCACATACAACTCTTGTGTCAGAAGTTCTGGGGTAAAACTATTCCCTTGGTTAAAGATCCTGGGTGCTTCTGAGGATTGGCCAGGTTTACCCTCTGCTTGGAATAGTCCCTAGATGTTCTTCTGGTATTAAAGATAATTATTTCATGAAATATACAAATATTTTCTAAAGAATAATTTTTTTCCTATACTTTCTCTTGGAGGAATGATGTTTTCTCACTTCAGAGACAGGACAGAATTGCCTCTGTTGCTTGAGAGGGGTCAGCACTTTGCCCTCATCCCATTGGACACACACTCCAGAATGGGGACAGGTGTAATCCCAAACCAGCAACACTCTCCAGGTTAGGAGACTTTCTCAGGGCCAACTTCCTCCTAGGCTCCTCTGGATCCAGGCAGTGACACTGGGTTCCAGCCTTAGGAGTCTGGCAACTAGTGGTGGCCTCTAAGCACTCTACTGTTTCTATCAATGCCACCTTCCTTAGGTTCAGCTGGTTATGTTCCCATTGTCCTAACAACATAATGGCTTCCACGTAGTGGTCTACCTGTGTGCCAATAGCTATGCTCACTGCTTTGTCACACCAATGAACTGTCACACTGAATCCTCCTTAGCACCCTGTGAGGTACTCTTGGATCCAGTTTGCATCTTAGAAAACACATTCAGAAAGGCTAAGTCATTTGCAAAAGATCAGAGTTAGGAGCTGGAATCTAAGCAGGGCTCCTTGACTTTGAGACTATTTTCTTAGCTTGCCCTCAGTCCATCCCTTATGGCTTCTGGAATACAGCCTTCCCTCCCTCCCTTTCCCCTTGTAGAAGTGAGAGCAGCGTATTCCCAGACCAAGATACAGACCTGGGCATCTACTTCCTGGCTTACCTTGGCCAGCCTTGCTCGCTTGATGAGGTCATTGAGTTTGCGCACTGCTGCCTTCTGGGGAAGGCTCTGGATGTCTCTGAAGAGGTCCTGTGCCTCAGCCTCAAAGAGCCGACGGTTGTCTGTGTTCTGCAGAGGCTGTGCCCAGAAGGAGCCAATGTAGACGCGCAGAACCTCGGGCGTGTTGATGACCTTGCCCAGGGACCACATAAGGGCCCCATAGACCCGCATGAGCTGCTGTGTGTCCACTTGGTCAGCCTTGTTAAGGACCACACGGATCTTGTCATCCTGGCCCCGGAAGGCCTTGATGGCCTCTGAGAACTCATCTGAGATGTCCAGTTTGTGAGCGTCAAAGAGGAGGATGATCCTATCGACCCGCTCAGCAAACCATTGCAGGACTTGGCAGAAGTCATACCCTGGATGGAGAGAGGACAAATCAGTACTCCTGGCAGCTCTGGGGGACATGGTTATAGTGCAGTTAAGGAATCCCCTTGGACTCCAGTAGCTGCCAGGGAGAAAGCCCCATCTTTAAGTTGGAAGCAGCAGAGGCTTCGAGACTTGAAAGTCATTTTGAATGGGACCCCTCTGGGCTGGATGCATCTGGTTCAGGCTGGGGATCCTTTCCTGGGGTCTTGGACACTTTAATCAAGCATTACGTGCCAATAATTTCATTTGGTTCTCCTGATTCTCTGATTTCACCTAGGACACTCCTTTTGATCAACAACAAAACTGACCAACAGGCCGGTAAACCACAGGCCATGGATCAAAAGCTCTGAATTTTGCATATTTTACTTTTCTGAAAGCACCAGAGACAGAGAAGGAAGAGACCTTGGAGGCCACCTGGAATCCCACGGGGGCATCCAGCAAGCATGTAAGAGGAGGAATCACCTTCTCTTAACCCAAGTTTGTACAGTGTCAAGGAGTCAAAGGTTGGCCTGGGCAAAGTTGTGACATATTTATCATGTGGATTATTTATAGTTTAAGTGTGTTATAAATATTTTAAAAACTTATGGCTCATAGCCATCCTGTGAAATGGTCCCTTGCCAATTTCTTTCTAAAAGTGGTCAGACCCACAACAAATTCCATTGAGCCTGCTTTGGCCACCTACCAATATGCTCCAAATCAAGCAGCTAAATAAACACTTTTCAGCAGCCTTAGGTCAAGACTTTCAGGCACTTCCCCAGGGAGGCAGGTTCCCACAAGGAGCAAACAAGAGAAGGCCAGTCCCCCAGGGTTTATTTTAATCTTAGGCTGATTAGCTGCAGAACCAGCATCTCAATTTAGCCCAGCTCAGGCTGACAGGTCACCTTTCCTGATTCCTCTTCACAGGTCCCTCCTCTTTCCTTTCCTTTTTGAAAACTTTCAAACATCTATCAAAGTCTAAATAATAATATAATTAAAGCTGGTGGACCTACCATGCAATTTTCATGAATTTTGACATTCTGCCCTGTTTACTTTAGATACTTTCAATCCAGTTTACTCAGATAAAAAAATATCATAAATGGCAAGAATGAACTGGATCTTTGCTTGTCCATACAGGTAAATGTCCGAAACAACAACAAAACCAAACCCACCTAAAACAAACAAAGCAGCGTTGAGTTAAAAAATGACTTTCAGGGCTGGAGTAGTGGCTCAGGGTAGATTGCTAAACTGGCCTGTGCGAGGCCCTGGGTTTGATCCTCAGCACCACATGCAAAAAATAAAAGGTTCATTGACAACTAAAAAAATATTTAAAAAAAATCACTTTCAAAGGGATGAATACAGCATGATAACATTCATGTAAAATGTTGAAATACAAAGCCACACTCAGCAACCAATGAGTATGTATTATGGCACAAATCCAAAAACACTGAATATGAATTTAGAATACTGGTTGGCACTGGGAAGGGAGGGAATATGGGCTCTAAGCAGATGAAGAAGTATTTAAAGGAGAATGGTCTAATTAGGGAAAATAAATGGGTCCATGAACTCAAGTTTCCATGCATTTGAAGAACAGGTGCAAGAGGAGGAATTATACACACAAACTAGCGTCAGATACTTTTTTGTAGTTGTAGATGGACAAAATATCTTTATTTTATTTGTTTATTTTTATGTGGTGCTGAGGATTGAACCCAGTGCCTTAAGCATGCTAGGCAAGCACTCTGCTGCTGAGCCTCAGCCCCAACCCCAGATACATTTTTAATAATAACAAAAATTCAGAAATGCTGAAGACTCCTGTGACCTTCCTCCTAGAGGAACCCACTGCCTTGGCATGGTGCTTAAGCTGCCAGCACATTCGAGACTTCCAGTTCTCACTTTTCACTTCTCTATTCTGTCTTCCTGTGTACTAGGCTCTGATGCCTTAGGGAGAAGGAAGACAAATGTAGTGCTCAGAATATGGGCCAGAGTTTATTCTATCTCCTTCAGCCACCAGTTTAGATAAGAAGACAAAGACTTACTGAACAGGTCACCCAATGGTATGTAAAGATTGGGAATGGAGACGTCACTCAGTTCTGTCCCTGCAAGGTCAAACTGCCTCCCAAGGTAATAGTAAGTGCTGCCATTGCGTGAGACTGACTTGTGCACTAGACAGCCCCAGATCACAGTGGCAGATCCTCAGCAGAGGAACACTACTGTTTCCTGGGTACCAGGAAGATGCCTGGGACCTGTGCATTCTTCAGGACCTGCATGGAGGCTTGCTTTTCCAATAAAGATGGTTGACATATCTGTCTGATCAGATCATTCTTTCACTTGATCCCTGTGATCAGAATCATATATCTGAAGGCTCAGAAACAGATTTAAGAAATTGTTGTAATTAGGTTGTACACTGAATGGATGTGAGTTGTTTTTTGCAGAACACATTTCTGTTTGGGGGGAGGTATTCTTCCTGGGCCATAGAAGCTGATGGTGTGGAAGACAGTCCTTTGCCCCATTCCTTGGCATGGACAAGTGACCCAGAATTAAACATTCATCTCTTTCCCCCCCAAGAATGAGGGTTTGAGGGAATGATGCAGAGACACAAGAAAAATCAGAATTTACCAATGGTGGGGGCAGGGGTGGGCGTGGCTGAACTGAGGGTCCAAAGGTAGTGGTTTCCTAAGCCTTTTTCTGAGGCTAGTTCTCCAGCCACCCCATGAATTCTGTGAATGACCTGATCTTCCAAAAGTTCCTTTTCTGTTTAAATTAGCCAGAATCAGCTTCTTTGATTTGCTAACAAGAACCACAATTGGTAAGCCATTTCTCCCACATTAATATTTCTGAATGTCTCTTACTTCAGTGCCAAAAAAACTTGCCACCCCAGGCAGAGAAGCCAAATTGCAGCTGTCACCTCCAGTGCTGGGCCATGCAGCTGTGCAACCCAGTACTGCATCCTCCCAGGCTGCCTTGGTTGAATGCTTGGCTGTAATATGACTCGTGTTAAACTTTAACTTAAATTTGAATAGTTAATTTAAATGTCTTTAAAAAAGGATTCCAGGCTGAGGGTGTAGCTCACTGGTAGAACACTTGTCTAGCATTTCTGAAGCTCTGGGTTTGAACCCAGTACCACAAGGAAAAAATTCCTTTCCAGTGCCACAGTAAAATCAGAAGTTATTGCGAAGAGAGCTGCTAGGTACATGTTTAAGTGAAATCATTACTTGTTTCAGGAGCAATGGCCACATGTCTCAATTTTCTTCTTTTAAAGCAACAATGAGGACTAAGAAGTACAGGTAGGCAGACCTGGGCTTTGTTTTGCTATTGAGCAGGCATAAAAGGACTGCTTATCACACATCAGGAAACACAATCAAAGGAGAGGTCACCAGATGTCTCAAAAGAGAGCAGAGGATTCTCAAAGCCAGGAGGGGTTGGTCTGCTCATTTCCCCCCAGACATACAAAAATCACAATTACTTTTGTTACTTTGCCATTTTAGAAACTTTTGAGCACCTAGTTCAGTGGCATCACAGGCACTCACACTGCTGTGTGATGTTCACCACCATTCACGCAGCACCCCTTCACCCCCTCCACTAGAACTCTCAAGCTGTTCAACAATAACAATAATACCCCATTCCCTTCTCTCCCCAGCTGGGGTGACACCATTCTCCTTTCCGTACCTAGGAATCTGACTACTCTGGGAACCTCACAGAAGTGGGATCATATAGCATTTGTCCTTTTGTGATGGGCTGATTTCACTCAGCATGATATCCTTAAGGGTCATTCATGTTGTGGCTTGTGTCAGAATTTCCTTCCCTTTTAAGGCTAAAATTAGGTCTGCTCAATAGGTCTGATTTTTTTTTTCATATTTTAAATTGATGCATTATTAGTTGTGCATAATGGAGGGATTGGTGGTTACATATTCGTACAAACACATACTGTAACCATATTATTTGGCCACTATCATTCTCCAGGTTTGCTTAATTCTTATAGCATGAAGCACTTCTATTATCTGCTTTCTGGGCAGAAGAGAATGGGGTGTTATTGTTATTGCTACTGTTGAACAGCTTGAGAGTTCCAGTGGAGGGGATGAAGGGGTGCTGTGTGAATGTTGGTAAACATCACACAGCAGTGTGCATGCCTGTGATGCCACTGAACTAGGTGCTCAAAAGTAACTAAAATGGCAAAGTAACAAAGTAATTGTGAAGCACACCAAATGCTTATCTACAAAAACAATCCTGACTTAATTTCAATTATATATTAGTCTGACTGCTAAAGGAAAATAGTGGTTCAGAGGGCTCCAAGATGCTGATTCTCTAAGTTTGGTCTTGCATTAGATCAAATAAGGGGCTCGCTAACATTTAGTCTCCCAGGCCCCTCCCCAGAACCAGAGAACCAGAATCCCTAGGGCTGGGCTTGGTGATCTGCAGGTTTCAGCTCCCCAAGATGGTGATGTGTGGTAAAGACAGAGGACCACTGCCTAGACTGAACAAAGGCTTGGGATGCACAGAGATGCTGACGTTCTTGTTAGCTAGCAAAACAAACATGCTTAAAGTAGTTTTCTTTTATTCGAAAAAGTTACCAGTAGATAGTTAGATGGGTGCATCTCTGAATGGAGGAACCAATTTAAAAATGCTTATTTGAAGATGGATTTTAAAGTTCACAAAAGCTCCTCTACCTTTGCTGGTGCTGGGTCTTGACCTGGCAAAACTTCCCCTAGAGTTCAGAGCATAGAAATCCAGTCCTGATCTTATCCATGCTTCAAATCACTTGAGTTAATCTCAAATTACATGCTACTTGACTTTAAGCTGCTTTTTCTTGTCTGTAGAATCAGACTGTTGAGAGACTACATGAGACTATGCTTTCAACTGGCTCAATACAGTGTTGACTTATAAACTTTCAGTAATGTAAGTTATTGCTATTACTCCCTGTTGGTAAAGATGGCGCCTGGAGTGCTTCTCTTCCGGGAGCTCAGGTCCGTGACTCACTGAATGGCGCGAGAACTGTCACCTCCAATCCTTGTGAATG